GACGTCTAGGGTTGTGGGAGAGACGATCTTCCTCTTGAAAAGTATATCATCATTGTATCTTGATTATTTTCCATTAGTTTTCATAAGAGCAGCCATCGTTTGAGTTTTTTTATCTATCTATTGTTGTTTCGTCGTTGTTTGCTCGTTGATTTTCGTTCCGAAGTGTATCAATTTGTCCAGTTCACAAAGTTGCTCGTTGATTTTGGTTCCGAAGTGTATCAATTTGTCCAGTTCACAAAGTTCTATATGCCCTCAAGCAAGCTTCATGGAAAAGGAATATCTTTGTCACCAAACGGAAAAAGAATATCTTTGTCACCAAATGACTTTCCACTCTGGGCTTCACAGCTAGCTCAGCCGACCCTTCTTTTTTTTATATATCACCAAATCTACATATATCATTATTCTCATTTATGTCGATGAACTTCTGATCATTGATAGCAACCCTACCTTCTCAATATCACAATTATCGAACTTCAACAGTTGCTTCACATGTTTAATCCAGTCCCGTCTCTCAATTTCTTGGTATTCACATTCACAAGAACCCTATAGGTCTTCATCTCTCCCAATCCCACTATGCCATCAAGATTCTGAACCGTGCAGGTATGTTGTCTTGCTAACCTGTATCTACACCCACTCCCACCAAAATCATCTTTCCATAGTAATTTGATTCATCTTTTCCAAACCATTAATTCTAACTCCACATAGTTGGATCCTTTCAATACCTCACAATCACTCGCTCGAACCTCTCCTTTGTCATCAATCGACTCTCACAAATATACACCTCTTATTAAACAATAAAAAATTGAAACTACTATTACAGTATATCCAGGCAACTATAGCTCTTGGTCTTCCAATTATCCAATTCGAACTTCAGCTTCGTGTGTTCTCTAATTTGAATTAGGCGGGTGATACATTGGCTTGAAAATGAACCTCACAATATTGTATCTTCCATGGTGCTACTCTGTTTTTCTTGACCTCTAAAAAGCAATCTACAAAAGCAAGATCACCGACCGAGGCGGAATACTGTGCCCTCGCTACTCTTGCTACCATAGATATCATGGATACGTCACTTGCTTCATGACTTTCAAGTGCAAGTTCAACAACCCAACTTTCTCTTTTTTGATAATGTCTCTGCCAACTCTCAAGCCAACAATCCCGTATTTCATGAGTGCACGAAATACAATGAAACTGACCATTACTTCATTCGGGACTGCAATAAGGCTACAACTATTATTGTAAATTGTCTAACTTTCTCAATATCAGATTGTTAATTTGTTAATCAAATGATTGCAAATAACCAAATTTCATATGTGCACGTCTACACATATGAACCTACAAAATCCTAACCAATTTTCATGCAATATTCATTTTAACTTTAGTCTCTTTGTATCTATATAACATGCATTTAGTTACATAGAATGTAATGAAAAGTATAACAATACCAATACAAATTCTATTTTATTGTTCTTCCATATATCTTCATGTTCTCTAGTTTCTATTACAGATTTCAAATTTTTCACTTCAGCTGAGATCGATAGAACTCTTTTGAAACTTGGCTAGGAGGGCTAATGGGACAACAAAGTGACAACTCTACAAGAAATCATTCATTTTTTTTTAATCGGTGCTTACCTTCTCGATTTAAGATATTTGATAAAATCAATTATAGAAGTATAAATTAAATTGCAATTGAATAAAAAATAATTGTTGAATCATGTAATAGCAATACATGATTGAATGGGATATGATAGTATTAGGGGATGTACAATTGATTATCATGAACTAAAATTTATGAAATGATTGATCCTAATTTTCACCATTTTGAAATCAATTCAATTTATATGATACAATACCTCTTTAGATATTACATTATTATTGAACTAGTGGCTATGTGATCATATTTATTACTTGGTAGTATGTATATATATAAATATATATATAAATAGTGAACCCGACCAACTAACAGACCACGGCTTGCAGCACACACACACACACACACACACACACACACACATATATATATATAAAGCTGTCGTAGCTATTACAA